ACTAGTGCATGAAAAGCAATGCGTCATATTGAGAACCCACCTTAAATCATAACATGGAAGTAGGCCACTTATAACTAGTGCGCTAATATGAACCTGGTCTCTATGTATACATACTCTTGTTTATAGGGCTTGCTATAATAATTATGATTATTTATGATGATTACTCACTCAGTTTTTCAACAACAGCAGTCTCTCCCATAGACTCGAGTGCATTTACTAATGAATCAATTGTGGCCCCTCCTTTACTGTCAACATCATCAGCTCTACTTAACCATTTGTCAAGACATTCGGTCAAACTACGGGATGCATCATGGCGATAGTTATATTCAATGACATCCATTGTAGGCTTTCGTAGTCCTAGTCTCAGTCCAAACTCATGAAACTTAGTTCCTGAGAAGCCACATTCCTTCAACAAGTCAACAATATAAATTAAGTCCTTTACATCTAAAAATGCACAAGCAACTTAGCCTGGGCGAGTGCAAATAGGAAAATACCTAAGTTGGAGCCCACAGAAGTGGCCATAGCTCCCAATAAACAATGGGGCCAGTGGTCCAACAGTCCAAAAACTGTTTCCTTGTGTTAAAAACCTCCTTCTGCTCTTATACTGTCTTGTAGGTCGTATCTATGCTTGTATCACAGTCATCATATTCCAGTTCCACCACCGTTACGTACGTCAGCGCCAACGGTAGCTCACGTGATTTTTAATTTAGGGTGACGTCATAATGACAGCAGATTTAATGGTGGAAAGGTACTAGCTAAGCCTGTGTTGACTTGTGCATTTTTCGAGGCATTTTTATATGCTGCTGGATGGTTTTCAGCTGTATGTGGCAGCTTCTGATATCAAGCAAGGATGTGTAGATCAAATGGTTAGTTTTTAGTCTAAAATATAGCTATATTTTAGTAGTAATGTCCAATGTTTGGAACTGGCCCTTTCTATCTTGTTCTATAACTGTAGTAAAACAGATCAGAACAACTCAAAATTAGCTATGCAATTGGCCAATCAATAGATGATCTTGTGTACAAAAATTTGTTTCGTTGAGCCTGGTTTCCATATAGTTGTGGCTGTTGTATGGATTTTGTAGTTAGCATACAATTGGACCTGGGCTCTAAAGGTGGATTTACAATATGACATTAGGCCAGCGTACCATCAATTTTGAATCAAAAGCGTGGGCAGTTTGACCTTTTGACGCATGCTTTCCGCTGGAATAGAACCAGATTCTATTCCAGCGTCAACGTAATAACGTCAGGACTAGCGTAATATTGTAAATCCGCCTTTAATCCACACT